AAAGGGGGCGGGGCCCGGGTTTTTTGAAGGGGGGCCCCCAAGGAAAAATTTCCCCCCCCCCCCCCCCCCCCCCCTTGGCGTGGGGTCCGGGGACGGAAAAAATGGTATTTTAGAGGGTAAATGATGCCACTTGGTACGGTTTACAACTATGATTCAGCAAATTCTAATTTCAAGAGGGGACCATTGGTTTGACTTTTTTTTCAGAAATCGAAGGCGGGTCAGGACCCCAAAGACACCCCTAAATCCGCCACTGTTTACCGTGCCACTATACCGGGTTCTTACAGGTAATTCGTCCGGGGGTTGGGTGGGGGGGGGGGGGGGAGGCTACTCCCTTTTACTGGCCCCAAGGCACCCAAAAGTCAGCCATTGAGGTGACAATCTTACGTAATAGGCAAACATTTCTAGTTAGATGATTTCAGATGCTGTCATTTTCATTTTGTTTTACACTGAGTTTACGCTTGACTTCGCTATAGAGCACGATGAGAGCCAAAGCGGTTCACAAATTGACGCTTTTAGTTGTGAGTAGTCTTTGCCATTTCAAACGTCCACTGTGGAGTTGCCCCGGGTACTGTATGAATATATGTACAGTCTTGATAAGCAAGGCCAAAGGAGTGGGGGGGTACAGTATGAAAGACAAAATATATGGTGAGGTAGAGCAATTGGGGCAATGTGACTTTTGAAAAAAAAACTTTTCTTGTTGATAGTCCCAACGAGCAGAGAGCTTTTTTTTTTATGAAAAGGCTGTATGACATGCATGGCGCCAAGCCGGGTAAAGTATTGAGTCAATTCAGTTTTGATCTGTTGCGTAGTTGGCAAAGGATGGAGATCAATGACCATCCCCGCCTAAGACTTTAAAGCAGAGAAAAGAAATATAATTCAGGACGCAGACTTTATGATAATGTCGAGCAGTATTTTGATGTCAAAATCGATTACAAAATTTAAACTAGGCCTATACTGGAATTTTATGCAAAAGGTAATCTGATCGGACACTGAATGCCTGCACTCGTTTCCGATTGCGGGGACAGCTGGTCGTTGTGGTGAATTGACAATTGACGTGCGTCCTGTGGGTCTTGAACTCGTGACTTGCCGTCACCCTGGTTTGCTGATGGCTCGGTGTTTCTGCAACCAAGAACGTTACCGACTGCACCGTGACCGAACCGCCCACCCTCCGTACCTACGTGTTTCCTCTTATAAATCAAACGCAAATTAAAAAAAAAAATCTAGCAAAAAAAAAAAGGTTTTTTTTTAAATCTCAGGATTCGAACCCGCGTCTAGCAGTGTCTTGCTGTGTAGAAGACAGCGGAGTTACCACGGAGCCACAGAAGCTTCGTCGGTACGGTGAGGATCACATTGTAATTTTTATACTTTCTCACAGAGAGGGCCAGTTGGACTGTACATGTACATCTAATAATCTGCCATAACAATCAATAGGCTGTGGGCCGTACACATGTATTTCATCCCGCGCATCTCCAGTCTGCGAACATGGTATTATCATCATTCAACGTTGTTAAAGTTCATCATGTACACGAGCACTTATTTGAGAAGCCGACACGGAGCGCTGCTACATGGATTGCCTTTTTTTTCTATGTCTAGTAGTGTGATATTTTCAGAAACCAAAAATCCGCCACTGGTATATACATCAGCAGAAAACTCATAAATTAACAATTTCAGAAAACTTATAAATTACAATTTCAGAAAACGTATATATTACAATTGCCCGGTAAAAGAACAGTTAAGTTACATTTTATTCAAAATGTGTGTATATATAGGCCTTTTGCAAAAGTAAATTTGAATAAATAAATAAATAAATAAATAAATAAATAAATAAATAGAGGAAGAAAAGGAGATATGTCAGTGTATCTACCCAGGGAAAAATTGCATCCTTCCCGCATACACCCATGCACGTTATGAGGGATGACGTACATTGTCATCATGAATGCCGAGTAACTTCGCTATGCCATTGAATAATAGGAGAGTTCATATGATTTTTCATGTCACTGTGTTATGTTCGTCAAGGTCTAAAACACACTTTCATTAAGATAATACTTTTTCACAGATTACAAACCTCTTTCTGGAAAGGTTGCCGTGGTAACAGGAGCATCTTGTGGCATTGGTGCTGCCATCTCTCGACAACTGGCTGCTGCTGGTGCCAAGGTTGCCATGGCAGCAAGGCGGGAGAACTTGTTAAAAGAAATCCAGGATGAAATTTCAAAGGAAGGGGGCGTAGCTCTAGCAGTGAGATGTGATGTTAAAAACAGAGCTGGGGTAAACTTAATGATTTTATATTGTGAATAACAATGTATTGTATCTTTTCATAGTACAGGGTAAGGGAGTTAATTATCATTGTTTTTAAACAGTAATTGTCTGTAAGTTTTTTAAAATAGGTTTCAGGTAAAGTCGGCCATAGAAAGTTAAATAAAGCCGCTTTTCCAACATTGCTTTTTGCGATGTTCAAAGTAAGGTACTATGTACATGTAGTAGCAAAGTGTGTTTATCTGAACACTGAATACAACATACCTGTAGCATGTGCAATATCTGGGATACCTTTAACATGAAATCGCCAAGATCATATTATTAAGTGATCCAAGTAATGATAGTGATCTATGAATCAAGAGTACAACACTAAATATCTCTGCATAGGTGAAGGAGCTTATTCAGTACACGGAAAGAACCCTGGGTCCCGTGGATATCTTGGTGAACAACGCTGGTTACTGGGCGTTCAGGTGCATGAAGAATCTTCACGAGGAGGAGTGGGATGAACAGGTGGACGTGAACGTCAAGGTAGAGCCAAAATTGGTTTCAATGTACAGTTGAAGTCATTATTCAAGTTGTTTTGTACCATTTCAATTAAACCAATTAGTTCTAAGCGAATTATTGTTTATTTACAGCGCATTCAGAACAAGTTGATCCGTGGACTAACAGATCTGCGGGCCAAATATGGCTGACTCCCTGATGAACACACGCCATTAAACGGTTTAAACCTCGGTTTAATTGCTAGGCCCGCAGGTTTAATTGCTAGGCCCCTGCAGCGACGGCGCGTGTGGAGGAGGGGAGGCTATCGGGAGATTAAACGGCTTGCTTTTAAGTGGGTCGGCCATATTTAGTCCGAGGATCAACTGTTCTGAATGCACTCTTAGATTGCCATCCGTCTTCCAGGCTTTCTCAGAAAGATACATTAACATGGGCTTTCTCGTTTTGAAAGTCTGAATTTGGAGAGATAGTTATCTATTGCTTTGAAGATATATATTTAGAACAAAACAACGTTGGGTCATTTTCAAATGTGTATCAACACCTTTTAGATAAACATTTAAGAATCTGTTAAGGATCTTCTCATACAGGGGCTGTTGAACTGCATTGGAGCTGTGATCTCAGGGATGTGTGAAAGGAAAAGTGGTCATATCGTCAACATGTCGTCAGACTGTGTAAAGCAGGTAGGCCTAATCCTGTCAGCACTCTCTGTAAAATATGAAAGCGTAAAACGCCCGAATTTGAACCTACCACTCGGCCTTCCGATTCAGACAAAAAATTCCATGATTTATTTATCGAGATTTTAGTTATATATTTTTGACAAAATTGTGTCGGATCAAATCAGTTCGCACCTTCTTTATTCTACAAATCTGCGTCCATTCTTTACCTCAGAGTGTATTGAACATTCCCGATTTTGTAAATTTAACAGTAAGCTTTCAAGAGTACTTGTTATTCAGTGCAGTTCAGGTAAAACGTTGGTTTCTTGGAACCTTTGTAAAGAATCATTAAAATGTCTCCCCCCATCCCCACCCCCGTTTTATTAAACAAATGTCTTTGCCTTTTTCTAAACAATTAATACAGTGTCGTATACTCTGAACTCAACGTAATAGGCTTCTCAATTAATTACTTTAAAGTAATTAAAATTTCATTAGAAATTGAGTTTTGCATACTTGTATCTGACATTATATTGATTCCGTTTATATGCACACGGAGTCAAGCTACGCCTTATGGCCCTATGACATTCCAGCCTTTCGTAGGGTTAGCCGTGTACGCAGGGTCGAAGTACTTCCTAGAGGGTATGTCACGGACGCTTCGTCAGGAAGTTTGTAAGGATGGTGTTCGCGTTACTTGTGTTCAGCCTGGTGACGTTGACACGCCTGGGGCCGTCAAGACTTTGATGACTTTAGAAGATGAGCAGGTGAAACACATTTACGGCTTTAAAAAGGCAAACCATGCGTACTACATCTTTATGTCACGGAAAAATTAAACCCAGAGGAGGATGTAATGATGCATGAGTTCCAGCTTTTACTGCCACGAGTGAATTTCACCATTCTGTATATCTCGAGGCATTACAAGAATGACTCAAAATATAACGAACTCAGAACCTAGTTAATGGATCATAATTATATAAATGGGTATATGTGTTGGGTACGGTAAACTACAACCGAGAGAATAACAAATTAATGGACCGATAATGTATCAATATATTATTGCAATTTCAGTGTAAAGCACTGTACAGCTACCCACACCCAGCTCTGGAACCTGAAGTCATCGCACAGGCAGTCCTCTACGCAGTCGCGCAGCCAGATCACGTGGCCGTCAACGAGATTCTCGTGGAGCCCAGAGAGTGCCCGCTGTAGTTTACTTTGTACTGCATAGTTCATGCATATGTTTTAATAGACTAAAATATCAACAACAAAGTATAAGGGGATTATTCTTTGCTTCGATCGTCAATGTTAAGTACAGGTAATATATCAGAGCACGGGATTTCAACAGAATGTACTAAACTCTCTACAAACATCGGGCTTGCAGAAAGCATATGCAATTACATGATTTGCCCCCAGAGTGGGTCCGCCGCATCCGCCGGCTCCACCGCATGTTGGCGAATAGGCCTACAAGTGCTTATTTTTTGTATTATCCATACGGTTTAAGGGTTGTGTTGTGTTATACAGTGTATTTCATAAGGTACAATGTCAGACTGCACAGTTAATGGTGAAATATTAAATGTGATATATCTCTAGAAATAGCATGGATACATTGTAGGCCTATATGTACCGGTACCTGTACACCCGTTGTCACTCTTAAACTTTATCTCCCAATGGGGATCCAAATATGACCTTAAATTTGAACTGTGACCTAATTTTTATCATGAAATGCACTTTGCAGACTTTTTGCCTTTAAATCTCCAAAACTATAGGAGATATAGGCTTGAAGATACTGATGAAATCATATATTCGGAATCTAGACATGATCCTGATTAGATCTTTGACCTATTTGACACCGTAAAGGGCACTTTTTCTCCCAATTTTTTGCCTTTATGTCCCCAAATTTATAAAATAAAAACTGATAGTTACTAGTTGACTTAAATGCGGAATCATACACAAGGAATACAAAACACAGTTGTCTCTACATAGCCGCCTGTCGTCGCCGTCGCCGTGTACTTTCAGGGAAAACACGATAATTGGAAAACTGCATGCTTGACCATTTGTCTTCAAACTTAAAGAACTGACGAAATTTTCATAAAATGAGTGTGATTAGCAATATTTTCCAAAAGTTATGCTGTTTTCTTTTATCTCCAAAACCGAAGGAATTATTGGAAAAGTTTCTATAGAAGTCTGACTGCAAGTTATATGTGGAGATTTGACCTTGATTATGACCTTGAATTTGACCTTTAACCTATGAGTTTAGGTCAAATTGACCAAACCTTTATAAAAAAATTTAATTTTCTGTGGTTTTATTTAATATGGTGAGAAGTTACACTTGGGGTCTCCTTTCATCATCCTGCATTTGGACTCAATCATTTTCATGGGAGAAACAGCCAACCGATGCCGAAACTGAAAACCCTCTTTAATTCTGGAACCGAGAGCTATAGACCTATTGTTTGTAGCATTTTGTAGAGCAAATGCGACACAGGAAGTTGAATCGTTTTTTTTTTTTTTAAACATATTAGGTTTGGCGTTATTTTAAAAAGTACAATGTCGTAATGGTCAACGGCAAAAATATTTCAAAATAAAATGTGAAATATTCCAAAACTAGAAGAGATACTCCCATAGTTCACTATTGAACTTGAATAGTAAGTCATATATTGACATCTTTATGTTATTATTTTTTTATCATTATTATTATTATTATTATTATTACACTTGTTTACCAGCTGATTACCTTCACACTGTTGTTTTTTAATCCAATAAGTTCACGCTTAATTCTTTCTTCGCGGAAACATGGAAATTTGGTTGCAATTACATGTATATTACTTGTGATATTGCTGTTCTTAAGCACCCTCTAGCGATGATTTACAAAATTTACAAACAATGTACTGTATGATGTGTTTATCAACCACAATAGGGTGACCTGGCAAGTACATGTACGTGGCATTGCATTCTAGCAGAGGAAATCATATATTAAAGTCCAATTGCAATATTCTTTAGGATGCAGACGTCTGCAAGAGGTGAGTTCAAGCACCACCTGAGTAAACGGAGGTGTTAAATTTATACTTGGATTTTTTTATGCCTATAGTACATAACAGGGGCGAATCCAGTGATATTTTTGACAGTCTTCCATACTATATTTGTTGACCCATCCTCCATTTTTTGACCGTCTTCCGACTGACAAAATAGATACCCATTAATGTAAACTTGAAAATCTGACCATCTTCCGGAAGACTCAGAAGACAGTCTAAATCCGCCCCTGCATAGGGCGCTTTCAGTCGGATCAGTGCAATAGAACCTGGATTTTCACAATTTCTGAACTGCACCCACATCTGTTAAATGTCGCTTTACCTAGGTCACACATTGTTATGAGTGTTTTTAAAATGGGTGTTTTATATTGCATTGTTGAAGACATTTTGTCTAAGTACAAGTACCGTAGATGACATCTATAGTTGACTGAAACCTGGATGTACCTGCAAACACTTAAATGTACATCACCTCGAAGCATTTCGTCTAATGGGAGCTGAGACTGGTGGTGGGGGGAGGGGGGTCCGGGTTCATTGCACGCGTCGCTGATGCTTAAACCCCCTTTACACTGGACGGCGTCCTTTCTGCGTCCATTCTGCGACCATGAAATTTGGCATCGCTCTGGTCTAAATAAGGAGGCACGAGCATTGATTCTGTAGCAGAATGAATGCTCAATGATCGGCCAGTTGTCGGCATGTAAAGTATTATTTTTTAACTCTCAAATGGGGCTGTACTGCTGGACGCAGAAAGGACGCCGTCCAGTGTAAAGGGGGCTTAAAGTGAAGCTCATACAAAGTCCTGCGTCTGCTCTATATAATATACCGGCGATATTCTATAGGTACGGGTTGGCTTGAAAGGAAATACACGTGTGCACACCGGCCCTTTGTGTAACAGGTACATGTATACTGAACAAAAATATAAACGTATGAAAGAATATGTTGATTTATTTTCATGTATGGAACTAGAGTATATATCCAACAATAACAGCATATTTTCCTCAACAAATAGACATCACTTTGAGAGCATTACAGGAAGTTTAAAGGTACATACGAACCGAGCATCGGTGGAGCGTGGATTCCCAGTAACACATGTAAACCACTTCTACTAGATTCTTATATGACTCGAATTAATTCGACATGCCAAGGGATAAACTGAATAGATCACTAGATCAGCCATAAAAGACCTTTAGACTGCTCCTTTCTTTAAATTTTTGGTTGTAAATTTAACCTACATGTACTTTCATGACCTACTTTCCTGCCCCATTGACATGCAGCTTAGAATGCCAGCAGAAAAATCCGTTCAAACATCATTTTCGGGTAAAATTAAACAATGCCTTTTGGTAATTCTCTTAGTTATACTACTTGAAACTATATGCTGGCATTTGGTTGGTTTTTGTGACAAAAAATTGACTTTGTATGCATCTTTAAATGCATAGTCCAAGAGTTAGGGCATCAACCTCACCATGGGGGTCACAGATACTAATAACGACTATGGCCACCAACTGACCATTTTAGTTTATATTTTTGTTCAGTGTACATACGGAAACCTTTGCCCTGCCCGGAAAATTCTGTAGGAACAAATTAAAGGAATTAGTCTACATGTTATAATGCGTATTTAAGCAAAGTAAGGAAAAAATAATAAAAAAGAAGAAATTATTTTGCGAATACTGTCATCATAGCGAGTGTTGTTGTGTCTTTAAAAAACTTAAAGTTATAACGCTTCACTTTTTATGATTTATGTTTCCACATGGGGTATTGAGTAAGAAGTTTTGAAGTTCCTTTACTAGTAAAAATGATGTTATTTACGTCGTCTTTATCAAGGTCCTCCTATATACACACACTGGACAATAGAAGTGTCACCCCTACTGAACCAATACTTTGGGGGAGATAAATGACTGTTGAATTATATGCTCCTGGTATCATTTTATTAACATCAAATTTCACAAAAAGACCAACAATACAATTCTATGGTACAGCGGTTTTATGCTCATTGGTCACATTATAAGTAGACCAGACATTATAACTTTGATTACTCTGATTCAGGGGGTGACACTTCTTTTGTCCAGTGTGTGTACATGTACATGTACTGGTACAAAGAGGTTCTCTGCTGTACTCATCGTACGCTTGCTCTCGACCCTAAATTTGCTCAATTCTAACAGTTGGTGTGCCGCCAGTCAATGATATCAAATTAGAAGGCTTTGAATTAAGTTTTATTCATTAAACAGAAAATTTAATACATTTTTCAGATGACAAACCTCTTTCTGGAAAGGTTGCCGTGGTAACAGGAGCCTCTAGTGGCATCGGTGCTGCCATCTCTCGTCAACTGGCTGCTGCTGGTGCCAAGGTTGCCATGGCAGCAAGGCGAGAGAACTTGTTAAAAGAAATCCAGGATGAAATTTCAAAGGAAGGAGGCGTGGCTCTAGCAGTGAAATGCGATGTTACGAACAGAGCTGAGGTAAAAAGGGTGTAACATTGTGTATGAACGAGATGCCAGTCGTGTTATGAATTGGGGCAGGAAATTTTCGCAAATATTCGCCTTTGGCAATATTTTTATAATTTCAAGAAATAAAACAGAGAAAAAGATTTGTTAGGGATTAACGAGAGGGAAAGGCGGCGAGTTCTATGCGGCATCTTCCTGTACAGTTCTTCAAAGGGAAAGCAACGTTGTTCTTTACATGGCAAGACTACTGTGTATGCTTATACCTTGTACCTGAATAGTGGGGGTCCTTAAAATGAAGTTTTCCAAAGTATTCTTAAAATGGTTAAATTGTTATTGATAATGATAATCTAAAAAACCTAGCATTGAAAGAGTACAATTCTAAATATCTCCGCATAGGTGAAGGAGCTTATTCAGCACACGGAAAGCACCCTGGGTCCCGTGGATATTTTGGTGAACAACGCGGGTATCTGGGTGATAAGGTGTATGAAAAACCTTCACGAGGAGGAGTGGGATCAGCAAGTAGACGTGAACATCAAGGTAGGGCCAAAATGGGTTTTAAAGTACTGGCAGTCAGTAATTATCGACAATCCTCAAGTTTGGACTGGGACTGGTTTTTTGTACCATTTCAATTAAACATTGTTCTAAGCGAATTATTATATATTTAGAAAACCATGATTCTTTCTTGCTGAACATGAAGGAAACGCCAACATAGGCTATATTTATTTGATTGTTATTTTCTAGTTTGAGGGTATTTTAGGGCCATTTGTGGCGTTGGAGCCTTCTCAAATGTGTATAAACACCTTAAATACCTTAAAGAATCTTTGCGAATCTTCTTCTACAGGGAGTGTTGAACTGTATTGGAGCTGTGATCTCCGGGATGTGTGAAAGGAAAAGAGGTCATATCGTCAACATGTCGTCACAAAATGGAAAGACGGTAATAGTTAATTGCCAGCTCTCCCTTCTGTATGAAAGATGAAAGTTGGAGAATCCGATTCAGTCAGAAAGCCTGTTGACCTATCAGTTTTCAGAGTTGCAAAAATAATCCTTGGTGATTTTCATCATTTTGTTACACACTTGGTTAACTTGAACCTATTTTGCTTAGTAAATCAGTTTGTTCTTACGTCCCTCATTCTGCAAATCAAATCACCTACAACTATTCATTCAATAGCAATTTTACTTCAAAAAGTGCAAGGAACCTTGTCATCAAATTCATACTATTCAAAACCCAGTTACTTGTCATTTTTTATATTCATAGCACCACCGTAACCGCATTGAAACAAATTCGTCTAAACAAATTTTATATACCAGTAGTTACGTACGCTACACTGAAGGTAATGCACATGTAGAGCTCTAATAACTTCATGAAATTTAACGCGTTTTACATATTTGGATCAGACATGCAGCAAACCTTCAATTTAATTCAGTTCTGTTGAAATGCACATTAATCCATTGCATATAGTACTATGGCATTACAGCCTTTGGTAGGGATAGCCGTTTACACAGGGTCGAAGTTCTTCGTAGAGGGGATGTCACGGACGATCCGTCAAGAAGTTTGTAAGGATGGCGTACGTGTTACTTGTATTCAGCCTGGTGAAGTTGAAACGCCCGGTTTCGGCAGGTATTTAATGACAATGGAAGATGAGCAGGTAAAACCTTTAAAGACATACTATGTCCACAAGATTTCTTATTGCCCCCTTTTAAAGTACAAATCGATAATTGATATACATGTACATGACATGCTACATCAATTTATCGTCAAATCAAATTAAGGGTTACAAGTTAATTTGCATTTGTTTTATAACCAGTGATTGTGCTACACTTAAATGTATACGTTATGTCAGTGGTTGCATTGTTTATATCGTGTAAAGCATAACGGAATTAAGAGAATTGGGGCAGCATACTGTACTGCAGATTAATTACATGTACACAAAACATGTGACAGTTGAAGGCTTCAGAAAACCGAAGAACTAAAATATCTCGTACCGTGCATATTAAGAGTGTAGGTTTTACAATACACTGTATCTTGCCATTTAGTTAAAATGGTCGTTTGGGATTGTGAACGACTTAAACTGCGATTTCATGGCGCGAAAGTCAAAATACTTGCTGCGAGCACCGCAATATTTATTTCAAACGATTTGGTCAGCTTTAGATCGGGTCTGTCGCTGGTTAGGTACGAAAACTGCACGCCAAGCTTTCAGAAAGTCTAAAATAGTAACAAATAGGATAAAGTAAAAGTAGATTCCATGAAATTTTGGTTTAGTAGTTAATTTAGAAGCCCGTGGCTCGAGATTACTAACGGCATTTTTTGTTTGTGAGGCCTAAATATCAAAATGGCATTTCGGCTGGCATTTGCTTCCGCGATTGTTTTGTTTGCAGAATAGATGAAGCAAATTCTCTTTGAGAAGAGCATTATAAAAACCAGTGACCTAGAGCGTGCAAAAAATATTATTATCATTTCAGTGTAAACAGCTGTACACTTACCCTCGCCCTTACCAAATTCTGGAACCTGAAGTCATCGCACAGGCAGTCCTCTACGCAGTCACGCAGCCGGAGCACGTGGCCATCAACGAGATTCTTGTGCAGCCCAGGGAGGCCCCGCTGTAGTTCATACCACTTGTTTAGTGTTTGGTATCTAATTAGAAAGCGGTGTTAGCAACAAGATACATATTTGGGAATTATTATCGGTCATCATATTCAAGGGACTCGTACCTTGTTTAGAGCAAATGCCAAGACAAGTGGTTTTATAAACTAGATTCCTCTAAGGTACTGGACTTCACATTAAATCAGGCAGTATATACAGTATTCTGCTTTCTTTCTGCTATATTAAACCTTTGGACTTTTTCGGCAATTCATTTGAACAGGTATGCTGTTGCGCGCGCTGCTACAATTTGCATAAAAGCATTAGACTTACCCTTTACCAGGGCCACAGATTGAATTTTCACTAGATATTCACAGATAATGTCTCTGGTTAAATATCGTCAATCTCCTAACTGGAAATGTGGAAAATGTGCATATAATATCCGCCACCCTGGCAAAGGGTACATTGGAGTGATGATTTTGCAGCTGCATTGCGCGCAGTGCTGCGTCCTTTAGCAGAATTTTACAAACTGGTAAATTGGTCAATTTTCGACCAGAAATTTGATGAAGGTAGAGTTTTAATGCTACTTTTTGGCTGAACGAGGGGTTACATTGGATTATGACTTGGCATATCGACTTTATTTTAGCTCTATAATAATACTACTTGTGATAATAATTATAAGTTTTTTATATGGCGCCTTACAATAATGGATAGTATAACTGAAATCGTTAAAATGACTAAAATTTTTTAAATCTTAAACACTCATTGGAAACGATTTAAAATTAACACTACTAATCTTATTAAAATATATAAAAAATCTAAGATATGTAGACAGATTAAAAAATGTGGGTCTTTAGAAGTGATTTAAAATTGTCAGTCTTCTGCTTTTCTAATAAAATTTAATGAAGTAAAGATGTTTTAAAATTATTCGTATATGCGTTATTTGAATTCACGCTCGCTTAATATGAAACTTTATCGTAAAGACAAGGTAAAATATAAGTGGCTTAACACACATCCTCTACTTAAGACCTCCGGGAAAGCGTTTTGTCAATAGCGCCCTACTGAGAACGCCCAGGTAATATCAGACTTTAAAACGAATTGTGCGTTTTCGAACTCAAGCCTAAGATTTGTGAGCACGAACTTCCAAATTAATGGCTAAAACCAAGCTTTCATGGTACGAATGCGAAATTACTGGCTACGAGCAATATGCTTCAATCCACAAACCTTTAATCCGTTCGGCAGTTTCCGTACGTGCCGGGGATTGTCGACAGCGCATTACTTCCGTATTGATAAGCAGTATGGATGGTACATTACCAGTAGACTAAAGAAACATTAGTTTGATTGGTTTTGAGCCTTTTTTTTATTTTTCATTTATTTTCCCCGGTACATTTCAATCTAGTTTCTCATAACTTATTTTCGCTGATTCAGTTGGTCTTCATATTTGCTTCTTAGCCATTAAGGTTTTGTCTCATGAATTTCCGAAAATAATGTGAAGTCGCTGTGACGTTTGCGTCTGCTCTACCCTTTTAAAGTGTGTTGCACAAAACAATCACATCGCTTTCAGTTTGTTACTAAATTCTTGTAACACGTGTAATTTAATACACATGTAATGTAATACAGTACTTGCACTTAGTCATACATACATGCACGTATTGAATTGAAATTGATATCCAAATTAATTTTCAATAGTGAATACATTTTATTATTATTATTATTATTATTATTATTATACAAGTAAGCTGATCACGTTCACATTGTTGTTTTTAATCCAACAAGTTCGCGCTTAATTCTTTGTTCGTGTGACAAAACATGGGAATTTGGTTACAATTATATAACTTCTGATTGCTGTTCTTAAGCGCCCTCTAGCGATGATTTACAAGCAACGCATGATGTGTTTATCAACCCCAATAGGGTGACCTGGCAGGTTCGTGGCATTGCATTTTAGCAGAGGAAATCATATATTTAAGTTGAATTGCAATATTCTTTAGGATGCAGTCGTCTACAAGAGGTGAGTTCAAGCACCACCTAAGTAAACGGAGGTGTTAAATTTATACTGGTAGTTTTGATATGCCTACAAAATGTATAGTACATGAGGCGCTTTCAGTCGGATCAGTGCAACAGAACTTTGATTTTCACAATGTTTGAATATCGCTTTATCTAGGTCACACATTATTATGCGTGTTTTTATAATGGGTGTTTCATATTGCATTGTTGAAAACATTTTGTCTAAGTACATGTAGATGGGGTCTATAGCTGACTGGTTTTTTGTTAAAATCTCTTAAGAGATTTTAACTGACGGAGCCCTCTTTGACTCTGCATAGTCACGCGATATCGAGCGAGATTTTATGGCGACCTACTTAAAACCGCGCGAAAAGCAGACAACAACAACACTTTATAACAATAACATTAGATTCATAAGATATATCAGGGGCGTAACCAGGCCTTTAAAAATTGTACGCACAGATTTTTAAAATTCCCAGCAAAATGTAGACTTACGCAAGAGATGAAGGACGGCGTAATTACAGCATATCAGGGCCGTAGCCTGAGCAAATTGCCAGGGGGGGGGGGGGCAGTAAGCGGACACGAAGGGGCGGAGCCCCCGAGGGGGGAGAGTGTGGGAGGGGGTTTCCCCCTCCCACGATGTGGAAAATTTTTTTAAACTGTATGTATAATACTCCATTCTGGTGCATTTCAACTGTTATTTATTGCTCAATCAGAAGTCAGAAATTGTGGGTTCATTTTGCCATAAGTACAGTCTTTTTTTCAACACAACACGCCAATTGGACTTTATTTCCTAAAGGAGGGGAGGGAGAGTTGGCTACAAACAGTACACCTTTGTAAACATATTGTTGATTGATTGTCTAGTGGCCATGAGTGCATTTTCTCACAGAACTGAAACCAACTTTGCAATTATTTTTTTTACCTCTGCGATTATTATTTTTTTTTTTGCACCTCAAATCCTAGGGGGGGGGGGGGGGGGGCATCTGCCCCCTCCGGAGGCTACGGCCCTGCATGTGTACCACACATCGCAGCTTAATTTCCATTTATTATTAAATCATCATTTAGTCAGAAATATTCTCGCAATTAAAAAAGTTTCAATATTCTTATTACCCAGAACGGTATATTTATTTAAAAGGAGGCTAGCTTCGCATATGTGGAACCCCCTTCGAAAAATCCTGGATCCACCTCTTGAGTTGAACTAACATACGGTTTCATTCACCCTAAGATCTAATATACGTTTATCCGTTTATTAGATCTTAGATTCACCTTACATGTGGATGCATGGCTCCCAAAACCAACCATCTAAGTTTAATTATTTGTTTGTAAAAACTGCCCCTGTCACCCTGTTAGTTTGGAGGGGTAAGCTGGGTCAAGTCCGTGTCAAAATTCTTTGAAGATTTGCAGGAAAAATCCTTCCTTTGTTTCTCTAGCTCCTTCTTAAACCTGGTGTTCAGATTTTATCTAGTGCCCCCAGGGTTGCAGGATCGAGCCGCTCTTTGAAAATAACACTCAGGCAGATTTTTACCTGAGATAAATATCGCCAGTGAGAATGCGCTTGATATTCTGAAGAAAGATTGTACAGAAGAGTTGAGGGCCACTGAACCCTCCAATTAAGAGGTAAAGGAAGTTCCAGTTAGATGGACGATTAAGATAGGACTTGTTAAGGTTACAGGCATTGTTAACCTCAGTTGGCAAGACGGGGAGGGGGGGTCAGATAGGCCTATAGGCCTACAATTGATACAGAGGATTTGTACATACAGGTGACTTTAATAAGCAGAGCATTTTTTTTATATTCCATGAAAAATACACTAAATTTATGTAAAATAATATCATGGTTGGCCAAAAAAATTGTACGCACAGTGCATCCGTGCGTATGCCTAGTTACGCCCATGTATATCCGTCTTATTGCTCAAAATGCATTTATATCTACAATATGTGCAGTTCTGGACTTTTCGTTATCCAACGCACTGTACAAAACTCGCGACTTGCGTCTGAGGATTGCATCACGCGTCTGCTTTCAGGCCGTTATCTGAAGCCTGAGAGATGTTGTTTAACTCCCACATCACGCGGCTGGAAGTTTGATTCAGAACTAATATAATGGAGTATTTTGCCACCGGAATCCGCGGAGTTCCTTCCACGAAAGCTGCACAAGAATGGTGTTCAGTTTCAAACACCCGCACAACGCGTAGGGTAAAACATGGCGGTGCCTAGGACGCATTGTCCAATCATAGTAAGAAGTTTCGAAGTTCCTTTACTAGTACAAATGATGTTTTTTACGTCGTGTTCATCAAGGTCCTCCTATATGCATGTACTAGTGCATAGAGGTTCTCTGCTGTACTCATCATACGCTTGCTCACGACCCTAAATTTGCTCAATTCTAACAGTTGGTGTGCCGCCAGTCAATGATATCAAATTAGAAGGCTTTGACCAAACAGATGATAACAGAAGTTAACCAGAGTGAAATGCAGATGGCGTTGAGTGTGTTAGTTGTCCAATTGCAGTGGGCGGTAGTTTTACGGAACATATTTAAATTACTCAATTGGCCTCAGCCAGTCATTAGCCTAAGAGGGTTAACCTCACAAGACTGAAGTACATTGAGAATTTTTGATATTGCACACAGTACCCTAAATAATATGAACAGCGACCTTGGCCTCCTTTGTCAAAAATATGCGTAATATGAAATAAAGCACAGGTGCTAAGCTGATTTATCTCCCCTATTTCTTTAGTGTTCACCCAGTCGGGGCATATTACGTAAGCTCAGCACCTGTGCTATACTTTATTTAGTGCCAGAAATATCAAAACTCAACGTAATTCTGTCTTGGAATTCCTAGCTGTTGAGCTGAGTAGCATGAACTACAGAAAATGGCAATGTGTCACCGGAAGGATGGAACTAAAAAACACAAAACGAAGCTTCTGCAGTGCTGCCTTTTTCCGATATTGATGTATATATATGAGGTTGCGTATGTATGATTGTGGTTGTGTTAGTGTAGTGTGTTCGTGCCTTTTTGTTTGTGTTCGTTCGTCTCCGTTTCTTTATATACGTAACACGCCCCTCTTTCTTAAGCCCCTATTTCACACAGACCACGAATCCCACGAATGGTCATGAATTGACAAATTTCACGATTCGTGGTTGAATCGTAATCAGTTCTTGAAGTTCTTAGCAGATTCGTATATAATCGTAGTCAGTTATTGCAATTCTTGATCAATTCGTGGCAAAAAATTTGAGCTGTTCAAAGTTTTGGCCACGAACTCTCGATTCCAAAAAAATCGTAGTGAATTTCTGGACAATATTCGTGCGATTCCAACCGAATCCCACGAATATTCGTAACATTATCGTACCTGTATCGTAACTGAATCGTGAGCGTGTCGAATTCGACCAGAAAATTGGCAAAATCTCACGAATCCTCACGAATCCTGAAATTTGTCAATTCCTGGCGATTCGTGGGATTCGTGGTCTGTGTGAAATGGGGGCCTTACGCGGCACATTCGTTTCTCGTTTCTGCCACGTCAACTTACAGGTGAGATAGACTTGATTCGTTTGCTTTTCATTTTCTTTGTGTTAAGATTTTGTATTTCTTTAAGTTATTTTGTTTGATATTTTCAGTGCTTGTCATTTCTTTTCATCCTTATATTGTTTAGAAGTTTAGTTTAATCATAAAAATAAGTATAATTAGTTCATAAATGTTGTTCACGTAAATATTTCTATGTTAGTTCAGTTCTGCATTAAGTTCTTTTTGTTTATTTGTAAAGTATTAATAAGACATATGTTTCTCGTTTCTGCCACGTCAACTTACAGATTAAACTCGGGTTCTTAACAAAGTACAGTGAAAGCTGTTACATTGATAGGGTGGTCTTTGTCTAATGAAATAAGTTTTATTCATTAAACAGAAAATTTAATACATTTTTCAGATGACAAACCTCTTTATGGAAAGGTTGCCGTGGTGACAGGAGCCTCTAGTGGCATTGGTGCTGCCATCTCTCGTCAACTGGCTGCTGCTGGTGCCAAGGTTACCATGGCAGCAAGGCGGGAGAACTTGTTAAAAGAAATCCAGGATGAAATTTCAAAGGAAGGGGGCGTAGCTCTAGCAGTGAGATGTGATGTAACGAACAGAGCTGAGGTAAAAAGGGTGTGGCATTGTGTATGAATGAGATGCCAGTCGTGTTATGAATTGGGGCAGGAAATTTTCACTAAGATTCGCGTTTGGCAATATTTTTATAATTTCAAGAAATAAAACAGAGAAAAAGATTTGTTTGGTATTAACGAAAGTTTGAGGGAAAGGCGACGAGTTCTGTGCGGCATCTTCCGGTAGAGTTCTTCAATGTGAAACCAACGTTGTTCTTTACATGGCAAGACTACGGTGTATTCTTATAATTTACCTTGTACCTAATTAGTGGGATCCTTAAAATAAAATTTTTAAAAGTATTCTTAAAATGGTTAAATTGTTATTGATAATAATGATCTTAAAACCAAACACTGAAAGAGTACAATTCTAAATATCTCCGCGTAGGTGAAGGAGCTTATTCAGCACACAGAAAGCACCCTGGGTCCCGTGGATATCTTGGTGAACAATGCGGGTATCTGGGTGATAAGGTGTATGAAGAACCTTCACGAGGAGGAGTGGGATCAGCAAGTGGATGTGAACATCAAGGTAGGGCCAAAGTGGGTTTTAAAGTACTTGCAGTCACCAATTATTGGCAATCCTCAAGCTTAGACTGGGATTGGTTGTTTTGTACCATTTCAATTAAAAAAGCGAATTATTATTTATTTAGAAATCCATGCTTCTTTCTTGCTTAACATGAAGGAAACGCCAACATAGTCTACTTTTATTTGATGGTAATTTTCTAGTTTGAAGGTCTGAACTTGGCAAGGTTCACCTGTATAGACACGCATTTTAGGCCATTTAGACAATAGATGTGTATAAAAATCTTTGATTTTTCCGAAGAGAATCTGTCAGAATCTTCTTATTCAGGGGGTGCTGAACTGCATTGGGGCTGTGATCTCCGGGATGTGTGAAAGGAAAAGAGGTCACATCGTCAACATATCATCACAAAATGGAAAGACGGTAATAGTTAATTGTCAGCTCTCCCTTCTGTATGAAAAATGTAAGTGGGACTCTCCGATTCAGTCAGAAAGCCTGTTGACCTATCAGAATTCAGAGTTGCAAAAATAATCCTTGGTGATTTTCATCATTTTGTCACAAACTTGGTTCACTTAGACTTATTTCGTTCAGTTAATCAGTTTGTTCTTACGTCCCTCATTCTGCAAATTAAATCATCTACAACTTTCATTTTAACTTCAAAAAGTGCAAGGAACCTTGTCATCATATTAATACTATTCAAAACCCAGTTACTTGTCATTTTTTAGACTTCCAGCACCACAGTTACCGCATTGAAATAAATTCTTCTAAACAAACTTTATATACCAGTAGTTACGTACGCTACACTGAAGGCAATGTTCAAATAGAGCTCTGATAACTTCATGGAATTTAACGTGTTTTACACATATTTGGATCGGACATGCATCAAACATTTTACTTAATTCAATTCTGTTTAAATGCACATTAATCCATTGCGTACAATATTGTATTATTCCAGGCTTTGGTAGGGATAGCCGTATACACAGGGTCGAAGTTCTTCGTAGAGGGGATGTCACGGACGCTACGTCAGGAAGTTTGTAAGGATGGCGTACGTGTTACTTGTATCCAGCCTGGCGAAGTTGAAACGCCCGGTTTCGCCAGGTGCTTAATGACAATGGAAGATGAGCAGGTAAAACCTTTAAAGACATACTAGGTCCACTAGATTTCTTATTGCCCCCTTTTAAAATAAAAATCGATAATTGATCTACATGTACATGACATGCTACATCAATTTATCGTCAAATTTAATTAAGGGTTACGAGTTAATTTGCATTTGTTTTATAACCAGTGATTGTGCTACACTTATAAGTATACGTTTCCTCAGAGGTTGCATTGTTTATATCGTGTAAAGCATGACAGGATTTAGAGGATGAAGCAGCATACTGTACTGTAGATTAAGCACATGTACACAAAACATGTGACAATTGAAGGTTTCAGAAAACCGAAGAACTATCAATATCTCGTACCGTGCATATTCAGAGTGTAGGCTTAACAATACCTGGCCTTTTAGACAAATTGGTCGTTTAGGATTGCGATTGGCGGGTTTGTGATTATGAACGCCGAATTATAGACTTGAGCTGCGATTTCATGGTGCGAACGTCAAAATGCTTGCTGCGAGGACCTCAATATTTATTGCGAACGATTTGGTCAGCTTTAGATTTGGTCTCTCGCTGTTCAAGTACGAAAACTGCACGACAAGCTTTCGGAAATTCCAAGTCTAAAATAGTAATAAATAGGATAAAGTAAAAATAGTTTCCATGAAATTTTGGTTTAGTAGATAATTTACAAGTCCGTGGCTCGAAATCACTAACAGCAAATTTTGTTTGTGAGGCCTAAATATCAAAATGGCATTTCGGCCAGCTGGCATTTGCTTCCGGGAAGGTTTTGTTTGCAGAATAAATGAAGCAAATTCTCTTTGAAAGAAGCATTATAAAAACCAGTGACCTAGAGCGTGCAAAAAATATATTATTATCATTTCAGTGTAAACAGCTGTACACTTACCCTCGTCCTTACCAAATTCTGAAACCTGAAGTCATCGCACAGGCAGTCCTGTACGCAGTCACGCAGCCAGAGCACGTGGCCGTTAACGAGATTCTTGTGCAGCCCAGGGAGACCGCGCTGTAGATCATACCACTTGCTTAGTGCTTGGTATCTATTGTGAAGCGGTGTTAGCAAAAAGATACATATTTTGGGATTCTTCTTTGTATCTGTCGTCATATTCAAGGGACTCGTACATGTACATGTACCTTGGTTGGAGCAAGTGCCAAGACAAGGGGTTTTATAAACTAGATCTCTCTAAGCTACTGGACTTCACATTACATCAGGCAGTATATACCCCTGTACATTATTCTGCTTTCTTTTTGTGCTATTTTAAACCCTTGATCTTTTTGGGAGATCCATTTGAACAAGTATGCTGTTGCGCGCGCAGCTACAATTTGCACCCATGCATTACCAGGGCCATAGATAGAATTTTCACTAGATATTCACAGATTATGTCGCTGGTTAAATATCGTCAATCTTCTAACTTGAAATGTGAAAATTGTGCCTATAATATCCGCCACCCTGGCAGAGGGTACATTAGAGTCAGGCCGCAGCCAGCATTTTCAAAGGGAGGGTTCTTTTTCTGAAAAAATGTACCTAGATCAAATTTTACACCCAGAGTGGACCTTTCCCAG